TTAATCTATAAACTCTATTTTTACCCCACCCACTGATTTTCACCTTCGCTCATCATCTTATATTTTTCTTGCATGTTCTCCTTTCTCTCCTCTCTACATCCTATATTTATCCCGTTTGCTCCCCCTGCTCTCTTGATGGCTTCTTTTTGCTCTATTCTATTTTATTCTTCTCTTGTTATAATAAAGATGGACCGATAACAAATAAAAGAAGAAGCCGACAGATAGCAGAGAAAGCGGTCGAGACAGAAGGAGAGCAGTAGGGGCGAAGCTAGATGGGGTCAACCTAGGTCGTGGTTCATCCCAAATATAAAAAGCACTTTAATTTTAAACTAAAATTATGTGTACTTTTTTTCCTAAATGTTCTTTGTATTGGTCCATTCCAGTGCCCTAGCTCCGCCTTGGAGAGCAAACATGAGAAATATAAGATGAAGAGCGGAGAATAGAGGGGCTATATGTAAAATATATAAGATGAAGAACGAAGATAAAAACGAGTGGACCAAAGGAAATTATAGTTTATTTGATGACTTGGACAACAACAGCGATATAAGTATATATATTACAAATTGATAATTTGACCATGTCAACTATTTAACGTTCTAACATAGCAAATATATTTGATCGGCTTTAAAAGTGCAAATTCATGTACTTTGTAATTTCAGGTGTAAGATGAAGTAATACTTACTCAACTGGAAACAAGTTCATGTATCATTTTAACCATTTTCTCATTATTCATCATGTTTCATTTTATACACTACCATGTCCATTGTACACCGGGATTAGTGGTACATGTATGGGTCCCAAACAAGTACAGAGATAGCATCAATTTTTGGCCCAATTATTAAAATTTTGTTTTAGTGGTAATTACTCGTATAGTCTCTTTTGTGCACCACATATCATTCGTGACCCTACTATTTTTTCTTTTCAATTTTAATCTTTTGTGTTTTCAATTATATTTTGTTATTTCAATTTTAGACTTTTGCCTACCTCTCGTAGAACCGTAGAATAGTTGCACCAGAAAGAGGCAAGGCATATTATATTCCTGATGATTTCCGTTTCCCATCACCGTATGGGTGAAACGATTAGGAGAGCTGTTGGCAGGTCTGGAGAACAGACGACGATTCCCAGATCTCTTCTCTGGGAAGTGAAATCTATGGCCAGGATTGATAATCGACGACTGCGTTGTGTTCGAATTGCCCGTTCCAGCGTCCTCTGACAGCCAGGATGGGAATAGAGAGTGCAAGCCTCCATGTATTTCCGATGCAGATAAGAGAGTGCGTGGATCTTCCATCGTCGTCTAGGATAGAGCTTTACCTTTGCAAAACAGAGTGTCCAAGGTGGTCGCGTGACGGTTTTGGAGCGTTGAGCAGAGTTTTCATTCACGCGCACAAGGTACGATTTGAAGCAAGGCAGATACGGTTGCCTAGGCCACTTATTGGAATTTTCTACGATTTTCAGGCCTGAAATTGCTCCTTCAATAGTGGACAATAGAATCGAGCAATTCACTCCAATCGCAACCAATGTACGTTGGCCGGTGCGATTCTCAGTCAGGTTGACATTTAAGTTTTTGATTAAATTAAAATTTTGACGTAATTGTTGTTGATGCCTAGAGAAGTTTAAACACCATTGTTTACCATTTATCTCATCCAATATTCTATTTCTTGCTAGGTACATCTCTACGCAATGAGAAATATTATTGCGGTTGTATGTCCAGTGTTGTACATGTGTTTTCATTTGGATCATCAACAATAGAATAGCCTTTTGTCCATTGTTCAATCAGTCCAGGTAATGGAAGTTTTACATAGTGGCCTGCTATTCTTAGTGTTTTATCACACTTGCTATTGTTACATAGCTAGTTTTAACCCACTTGGCACTTGCTATTGTTACACAGCTAGCTTTTAACCCATCTGCTATTGTTACACAGCTAGTTTTAACCCACTTGCTATTGTTACACAGCTAGCTTTTAACCCACATGCTATTGTTACATAGCTAGCTTTTTATCAATGATGTCTATATGCTTGCACTCGAATCTATATATATCCAAGTGTAGTAGTAGTTAGTTGTTTCCATTGTAGTAGCTTTCTTACTTAGGGTCAAAAGCATATTACTAATTGTTCATTTGTGAGTGTGTGGTTTATCTCTTCTATCATTCTATTGCACTCCAATTAGCAATTTCATTAGTTTTAGTTTAAAGTAATGTCAAGATTTTTCAGGCGCCGAGGTCAAAAGTGGATAACTTCTAGCTATGCATCTTGCATCTTTCGCAGGTAAATTAGCTATTACCCAACAAATGTGTCGCTTTAAGATGATATATGATCAATTGCTTCTGGGCATTTGATTAGTCATTTTTATGAATGGGGGAGCTGTATGAGGTGCTGCCTCCATTAATTGACTAGTCCATTTTGATGATATATGAGTTAATTAGAAGAGAGGTTGATAGTATTTGGTAGCTGATGTGAGTTATTGACAGGTACAAATTATATGACATTATTTGACAGATACTAAGGCATGAAACCTCTTCAAATTTGTATATTATTTAAAGGATTATTCATACGATAGTATTATAAGGATCATCTTAAATGTGAAAATACATATTAAATTATGGATTCACTGTCATACTTTTATACGTAGTATGTGTTTTTGTTGCTCATTGTTGCATGGTGTAGCTTTTTTGTTGCTCGGTGTTGCATGGTGTAGCTTTTTTGTTGCATCATGTTGCCTTTTGTTTTACCGTACTTCTTTTTTGTTTCCCATTGTTTATTTATTTGTTTATTGTAGACTTTTTTATATTATTTTGTTTGTGTAGGCTTCTATTCATTTTTGTTGCTTTGAAATAAAAAATGAAATGTTAAATTTTAGGAAAATCCACAAGAAACATAAATAAATAATAAAAACCAAAATTTTCAAATTTATCAACAAAAAGAAACATAATGAAACAATATGCTAACAACTAACAATAATATGCTCTGGTGATTATAATAACACTCCTCTTGTACTTCTTAGGTGCAAACTGCAAAGCTCGGGGTGCTTCCAAGTTTGGATTGTATGATTTGTATCAATTGTTCAACAAGTACTACTCGGATATTGTCGGACCAGAATATTCATTCGAACACTTCTAGAAGTGTGTTATTTTCCACCTTTCGCTACTTTGCAAAAAAAGTATTATTAGTGTGATGCAGTTATTTGAAATTAAAAAAAAATAGAATTGTAAATTTATGGCATTACTTTATACTCCCTCCGTCTCCCTAAGATTGTCCCGTTTTACCTTTTCGGGAAGTCCCACTAAGATTGTCCCATACCAAATTTGGTAAAGATTGTGTTGCTCTAAACCATTCTTGCTTTATTCTTACTTTATCAATTTAATATCAACCACACAAACTCATTTTTCTTAATTATCGTGCCACCTTCTTCCGTCCCAATCTTAGTGGGACGGAGGTAGTACTACGTATGTTTTTTGTTGCTTTTTGTTGCATTGTGTTGCATCATGTTGTATTGTGTTGCTTTTTGTCGTTTATCAGGTACTACATTTTGATCTTTTATAGTTGATTTTGATTTTCGTTCTTTATTTAAATTTCAATTTGTTTTTTTGGAATAACAATTCAGCCAGCACGCACTCTCACACATAATATATTGATAGATTTGAATTTGTCAAATTATATTAACCTATTGTCAATAAATAATAAGAAACAAAATTTGCATTACAACGACACCATCAATCTTATTCTCAAAAGATTTTGGGATTGAATAATATGAATCATATCAAAGTAAGAAGCAAAATTTTCAATATATCAACTAAATAAAACACAATGAAACCACGTGCAACAACAAAAAATAGCCTTTTCAAAATAATTAGATTTTTCAACTATTTAAGAAATCAAATAAGAAATTCATAGTTTGTACAGAGTATAATGTAACTAATTTTCGAGTTAAAATAGCCTTTTCATATTTTTTAACTATTTATGTTTTATTAATTTTATTTTTCACATTTTTCGATTCTTATTTTTTATTTTTCTTACACTTTCTTCTGATTACTAAATTTCTTGGTGTTTTTAAGACTTTGGAAAGTTTTATTATCTATTTTGGATTTATTAATATCTGTTTCTGAAAGTTTTGGACTTAAAAAATTTATATATTTATATTTTACTATGTTTTTACTTTTATATTTATACGTTTTACTTTAGTTAGTTTTTATTTTTTCTACTTTGACAATTTTGTACCGAGTATTTTGTTACATATGTGTATTATCTAGTAGTTCATTACAAATAAAATGTTTTGTACGGAATATGGTTTTATAATTCCATATGTTTTTAACTTTTAAAAAGTTGTTTACTTTTTATTATTTATTTTTTCCATTTCTTCTACACGTTTTTATGCTTTTCTAATTCATTTTTAAATTATATTCACATATGCTTAATTTTGATCAATTTATTTATATTTTCCCTTTTTAATATTTTCCTATTTTTAATTCAGATTTCAAATTTATTGAGAATTTAATATTTTTTGTGTGATTATATTAATAATTTTGACTTAATGATAAATAAATCAATACTTTTTTGTTGTGTAGCTTCGACTTAAAAAAACGAAACATGAGTGACTCCAGCACATTTTTTTAGCTTAGATGAAGAAGTGCGGAACTACGGCGTACATGATCAATGAATAATCAGGTATGTATACGTATAGACCGCTGTCCAGGGAAGACGTGGGCTATGTTTGAAAAGAAAATTTCGGCTAGTCTACTTCTGAAAACAAAAGTTGAAAGTGATAAAAGTGATATATTTTTCACTTTTTAGTCCGTTTGCGAAAAATTCCCTTTGTTTTATTGAATAACATCAAGTTTGAGCGTAGGCCCACATGGCTGAAAAATGCATGATTAGCTGATTCAGCAGCCACAACGTGGCAAATCCAGAGTGGCAAAATGCACACAGATGGAGAAGTGTGGGACCACTAGCGGATGCTACTCATACGCCTGACGTTTAGCAAAAGAAAAAAGAAAAAGGAAAAGAATTCCTTTGGATTCACTCAAACGGCACCGTTTCCCTCTCCCCTGTCACTCTGTAGTCTGTACTTGTTGTTACTCTTTCTCTCTCTTATTACTCCGCCCCGCATTTCTAGCGTGTTTTCCGTTCGACACAGATTCTCCGATCTTCTCTCCGTCTCTGGCGACCTCTCCGAACTCTTCTGCTTACATTGCAAATAGAGCAGGGCTAGGGTTCTTCCAGTCCATGGCATTGTCGTGAACGGAAATGGAGGCAACTTCGAGTGCTGTATCCGCGCCGCCGTTCAAGCCTAAAGCGAGGAGAGCTGATGCTTTCCCTCTTTCGGGGTCTGTGGAGTTCCGGCGGTTGGTTGGACGAGACCGGTGGGGCGTCAGGTGCTGCTGTCCGGACTCGGTGTTGCCTATTAGGCGGAATTCCGGCTCGGGTAAGAGCGCGGACAAGTGTGAGGAGTGGCGGATCGATCCACGGAGTACTAACCGCGTTCTTCTTCATGGCTCCCCTGCAATGACTTTTGCTTCTCCTCAGTGAGTAATTTAAAGATTAACTATGTGGCAACTCAATACCGATTTAATTTGTCTAAAATTTGAAATGTTCTTCTCTATGAAGACAAAGGCAACACAGAATGTGACGCTTTTTAAATTGGTAAATGTTTGGGGATTGAATTGGACAAGTGCCTTTGAATTCAACTAATCTTAGCTTCCAGTGGCTCTTCTACTGTGTAATTGATTTCATTTATGGACTAGAAGTGGACATTAAGAATACTTTCAGTGCATTTGAAGTTGCTGAACTTGTTACAAATGCCTTTGTAGTTTGGACAAACCTAAGACTGGTGGCATTTTTACTTGCAGAATTTAAGCTGCTTCAAAGGAGAAATCTTGTTCTTATGTTGTATTATAAGTTGCCAACCGCGAACCCATTTTTGTTTATCTAAAAAACTATCTTTCTTGTTTTTGGCATGTCACAGATCTCGTTTTGTTTCAAAAACGGAAAAGTTCTCCCCCCGGTGTGCACCTCGGAATTCTGGCCCTCAATCTCGAGATTGTCCACCAAAACGAGGTACTTGTACTGCCACTTAGTGTTTCACATCCTCTAGATTATTTTGATCTCTTAATTATTTCCTGATAGTCTGAAGTTAATGTTTATTTGCATCATCTGGTGGTTAGTATTGGTATGTCTGACAGTATCTCTCTACCTTATCCTTCCTCACTGTAGATACAGGTATTGCAAATGAGAAAGATTGGGGCATCACTTTGTTAAATGAAAATATCAAGGAATCTGGCACTAATGAAGATAGTAGTACTTGGTTTCGTGAAAGTGGGGAAGACGTAGGAGAAAATGGTTACAGATGCAGATGGGCAAGGATGGGTGGTAGGAACCATGATAACACGTCTGAGTGGAAAGAAACGGTATTGAAGCTTTTCAATATGCAATGTTATAAATCCTTGTTTATTGTATGATGACTTGATGAGTATAAGTGGACAATAGTCGCTGGTGAACGTGTATTTGATCTGAATGCCTAATAAACTCCTCAAAATGTGTTACAGCTTAAGGAATAACTGAATTTTCGCATTCTGGTCCTTCAGTGATGCTTGACTAGTCGTTTTGTCTGGATATCCATTTTTTTGGAAATTTAATCTCACTCATGTCTTAGAAGAACAAAGTAAATGCCCCATTTTGTTATTGTCTTAGTAGTTCTATATGTTGGCATTGTTTCCATAACCTCATTAAGTATCATCCTAGGTGGATGCTTTTAATTGGATTTGTTGATCTCCTTGACAGTGGTGGGAGAAAAGTGATTGGAGTGGATATAAAGAGCTAGGTACTATCATTTTATACCCTTTTTATTTAGTACTAATCTTTGTAAATTTTTTCTTTATGTTCTGATCGGTAGTGCTCAAGTATTTTGTACAACTCAAGAAATCTCAAGGTTGTCCTTTTTTTAGGTGTAGAGAAATCCGGGAAAAATTCTGAAGGGGATACATGGTGGGAAACTTGGCGTGAAGTTCTACACCAAGATGAGTGGAGGTTATCCGTTTTCATTGCTTATGTATTATGTATTCTTTTTGTATACAGTACTGCAAACAAAATATTATATATATTGTAATCATGGTGAACAATTACTAAATCTTAGACAATAATTCGTCTTTTGAAATTGTAGCAATCTAGCTAGGATAGAGAGGAGTGCACAAAAACAAGCAAAGTCGGGGACAGAAAATGCTGGATGGTATGAAAATTGGTAAGAGGTCTTTTAATGAGATTGATATACACCCTACCTAACATGCTAAATTTTATTTGTTGCTCTAAATAGATTCGTGGGGAAGTATGTTAAATATTTCTTTACTAACCTTTAGAAACAAAATATTGGTAACATCACGTGATGAAAAACAGGTAGTAGCTTTGGTAGGGGAGGATAACATTTTTACTTAATGCTTGAAGGAAAGAGGTTAGCCAATTAGTATTGACCAACTATTGTTCAAAGTTCAGACCATAGAATAACTGGTGCCTCATTTGAATGCCTTGCATTAAACAAGTGATGTGATTTATTTATTATCTATGCAGGTGGGAAAAATATGATGCTAAGGGTTGGACAGAGAAAGGTGCACATAAGTATGGTAGATTAAATGAACAATCATGGTGGGAGAAGTGGGGGGAGCATTATGATGGAAGAGGATCTGTTCTCAAATGGTAGTTTGTTTATGTTGTATTCACACATTGGCTCACAAAACACTTCTAAATATTTACTATTTGCTTTTGTTTTGCTGCATATGCTTTGTCTGAAGGTTTACTTTGGTGTCTATTGATAATTAAATATGCTGCCCTTTGAGAAATTATTAGCAGTTTTCCTTCGTTGCTTTTCCTTGATCATTGGGAGAATTTGATTGATTGTGTCCATATTAACAGAGCTCATTAGGTCAAGATGAACTAATGTGAGTTTATTGCTTTATCTCAGGACAGATAAGTGGGCAGAGACCGCTCTGGGAACAAAATGGGGTGATAAATGGGAAGAGAAGTTCTTTGCAGGCATTGGGTCACGGCAGGGAGAAACTTGGCATGTATCACCAAGTGGTGACCGTAGGTGCAATCCTTCTTTACTAAATAATTGGCGAAAATCATTCCTTTGGACAATGCCATTCACTTTTAGCTCTTAACTTCGTATTGTATTCTCAGGCCATAACTAACTTTAAAGCTGCACACTAAAGCGTGATCAGGAAATAGTTCAGTATACATTTATAAGTAAATTAGAGAACTTTGTTTAATAGAGAATCTTCTTGAACAACTATTCTGCAGTTACTTGATATGAACAGTTCTGAATTGAACAGTCATATATGGTCTATTTCCCCCAAAGTATTTGAGCCAATTTTAGCCATATGCATTCTTAAGACCTTGTTTAATTGAGATATATTGTAGAGATGGAAGGGGAGGAGTAATTTTTATTTTATTTTGATCTAATATTACATTTAGATTGAAAGGAAAAATGAAGATGAAATTTTAGATAGATATAAATTAAGTGATTCAACATATAACATATTACTTTTTTCAATCTAAAACATATAATTAAAGACAAGTTAATCCAACAAAAATCAATCCTCCCTTACCCTTCCCCTGAAAATCCCTGAACCAAACATCCCTTAAAGTATAGCAATGTTGTAGTCTAGCAATGTTGAACTGATCATCCCCAAACAAGTTAATTAAACTGATCTCTCATCCCGTTATAGTCTAGCAATGTTGAACATTTTTTTCATTTTCTTCAGGGTGGTCAAGAACATGGGGAGAGGAACACTTTGGGAATGGGTAATTCGCAATTACAACTCTCCTTGCTGAACATTCTAAACATCTGTGATATGCATATAAGATATAATAAGTTACATAACTGAAATGTATACATCAGTGATTTTCTTGCCTGTGTTTGAAATTTTCAACACCTTGTATTTTATATGTTACCAGTAAAGTACACAAATATGGAAAGAGCACGACGGGTGAAAGTTGGGACATAGTTGTAGATGAAGAAACTTATTATGAGTAAGATGGGCCCTTGTCACAAATAATCAAATGAATAGCAAACATCCATGTTTTATATTTATATTTTCTTATTCTTATTACTTTTGATTGAAGGGCGGAGCCACATTACGGATGGGCAGATGTGGTTGGTGACTCAAACCAATTACTGTCCATCCAGCCCCGAGAAAGGCCGCCTGGTGTTTTTCCAAGTATGGATTTTGGCCCAACATCACCACATCATTCTTCACCACAGCTCAACGATGAATTGCCTCCCTCTTCATCATAGTCAACTGGCCAAAATCAATATAAAACGGCTTCCGTTAGGCTCTCTGCAGTGGTTCTAGCATATTTGTTTGTGATTCATTTATGCTCCAGTGTAACAGAATGTGTTTATCTGCTATTCATTAATTTCATTCTTTCAAGATTTTGGTTTCTGTTAAGTTATTTATTGGGATATTGTCAGAGACATGGGTGGGCACCCTTCCTAGATTCAGTTGAAGGATACACTAGGGCACTAGGCACCTCTGCCTTTCTGACTTGTATTCGTTTTTCTCATGTGTGGCTCTGATTTTTATGACATTGTATGCCAAGCTCAGAAGCCAACAATAATAAGTATGATAAGATCAAATTTGTTTTTCACTTTTGCCTTCCGAAAATGCTTGTTTTGCCTGCCAATAATTCATTTTATTACTGTACGCTCAAATTGTCACCGGTTATAAACAGTTCAATTTATGTATACATTGAATTATGCGATTCAATAATAAGTTTCTTAAAAATTTGGATATTATAGTGAAAAAACAGGTTCAGTTTAATCAGTTTCATAAAGATGCTCTTCTGTATTGAATATTCAAATTAATACTACATATTAATTTAAATCAGCTCAAATGATGTATACACTGGATTATGTGAGTCAATATTATATTGCTTCATGAATTAGATAGGAAATCATTCCAAACGAGGTGTAAGAAATAAAAGCATCGTCAACTCTTATCTATTTAATGATAAACCTTATTTGGGTAATTGGGTGGGTGTACTGAATCATAAACAAATGGTTTGTGCCTCAGTGCCGTCTGTGGTGACTTAATCTGTTAATCATAAACAGCTCTATTCAAATCAACAAAAAATTGATCTCCAGTATTAAATGACTACATAAGTAACTTTTAGTAGTATTTTGTACTGAATTAACATGAAATTTAAGAATTAGTCACATTTCTATCCATAAGCTTTTTTATTTTAGTGATATTATATGAAAACCTCCCAAAAGTAAGTCTGAATTTCTTAAGAGAAGCATAAACATTGGACAACAAAAAACAAAGTCAAACGTATAAAATTTCCCAAAGGAGTATACTATAATTGCCTAATGGCAGTCCAATCCATTTTCTTTCACAGCACTATAAACAAGACAATTAGTCCAAAGCAATTTTTTTAAAAAAAGTGATGATTACACGGCTGAATACAATCCTCAGGACTTCCTGTATCAGATTTCCTGGCAAAGTTTAGCAAGGCAATTGGATATAAACAGAAAGTTTAAAAAGCCAATATTTACACTGGAAATTTGGAAAATAAATCCTTAGGTCCATGTCTTCTTCGCCAAGATTCTCTTAATGTAGTACTCCTTTCTAGAAAAAAGTCTTGTCTTGTCTGGCCAAGCTAAGGCACAACATTTACTTTTGCCAAGGTACAAGTGTACAACTGTTACAATTTTATTTTGAGGAAACAACTGTTACAAGTTATGAATGATACTTGTATTTAAGAAAATTTTTAATGCCTCGCCAAAGTTTATTGTTTTAAACATTTAAACATGTTTGTTGCTATCTTTGAAAAGTTCTACATATTATCTTCATTTGATCAAGCACGACTTGTTTTATGGGACGAAGGGAATGCAATTTTCTTTTCTACCAATCAAATGGACATAGCAGAGACTATCTGCCTACTGTTCTTTGAGATCCTAGAACAAAACATAAACAGCAGTAGCACCGATGATAACAAGAACAGCCTAAAATACGTCCTGATTTCTTGCATTCCCAGATCAAGTACTTCCATCTTTTTCCCGTACCTGCTTTTCCTTTCCATTAAATAACCATTCAAGTAGTCATCAATGGAAACCCACTTCTTGAAACTACTAGATGTTGAATCGTTTGAATGAAATTCATCAATCTGGTGTGCACTGATACTGAACAATGTAAAGAACACAGCAGACCAATCATTCAAAACTCTCTGCAAAATAAAAGTTCCATAAGAAATTTCTGGTAGGTTGTGCTGATTAGAAGGAATTCATGTTAGACTGAAAAGTGAAAACCCATGACTGTTAGTAGAAAAGTGAGGAAATTAAGATCAACTACAAACATGATGACCTACATTGAAAGTGCTCACGCTAGTGGGGTTGAACATCTTAAAACAGTCCTTTGATGAGGCTGCAGGATCCCCATAAATCTGCTTATCAGTGATCACATAGTAAAAGGATATGAGTATGATAGCCACCAATATGAAAATTGAACAAGTGTCTTAAAATTTTGAAACTCTGTTCCCATGAGATTTATATAAAATGTATAAATTAAGGCTAGGTCCATTGGGGTTTATTTGGTAGATAAATATGATCAATTTTATTGCTTCATATTTTCATCAACTAAGTACATGCATTCTGTGGTCTAGGAGTTTGAGTTGGAAAAAGAGGGAACAAAAACTCAAAAACTCTATTTACCTGGCACTTAGCATCGGTTTGTTTTTATACAAATATCAGTGTGCTGTAAAATTCTAATGTGGAGAGTGAACTTATCTTCTACAACTTGCATATAGAGATTGAGACTGCTTTTTTTGCCTAAATGGAAGACAGGTGAACTTATTACATGGAAAAAGAGTTGCTCTAGAAGAATCCAATTATCTTATGTTGCACACAACTAAATGGATTTTCATCCATATTATCAAAAATCTATTCGCCTATCTAAGGAGTAAGGAGTAAGGATGTCCCTAATTATGGGGGGGGGGGGACTTCATGCCAATATACCTGAAAGACAAAGACAAGACTTAGGAAACTTGGAGGCTATCAAAGATCTTGCAGGACTAAGATATGTTAGCTGTAAATGAGGCTGCGGTTCTGTTGGGTGTGATTTTGTTCTTTGAACAGAAACAGCGGATTATCAATGCAAAGTAGAGTAAAAATAACTTAACCAGCAAGTGAGAAGTACAAATCTTCAAATTAATTTTTAGTCATTCAATTCCAAAGCCTCGTAGAATCTAAATACCAAAGCACTCTTCAATCACTATATTTGTTGTTACTTAGTATGCATGTATTTGAATGAATATAGTCCACAACTTGCCCTCTTAAAAAGTAAACAACGGTACAGACCTCAAATGTGAAAGCCATAGGCACCCTTCCGACATCATACATGTAATCTGTTGAAGTTCCATGCGCTAGATACCTGTACAATGTGGGGGGGGGGGGGGGGGGGATAAGGATGGGAACATATTGGTTGAAGGAAACATTGAAGTAATGGTACTTGAAAACATTTTTTCCTATTTTAGACCAATTGATCTTTCCAGAATCAATTAGTAATTCTTTCAACGACCATTTCCACACTTGCACTTGAATAACTAGTGCCAGTAAAGTTCTTTTATTTCTGCATTGTTTGTCCAAATGATACAGACCCTACAGAGCCTCCACCGGATCCAACCAAACAGCGGTCATTCAAGTGAAAATGATTCAGCTTTTCAAGCATCAATTTCATCCTCTGGGAGAGTAACCCATCTGGAGTGGTGTTCTTGTGATCGTATGGCATAAATAGGGCCTAAAAAGAGAAGAATTATTTCAAACATCACAAACGGGTTCTTATAAGATGATTACAAGCATTTTGATATATTTTACTAAAACATAGAATGAAAAAAGCAATTAAGCAGACATGATGAAAAAATTAGCAATTATGAAGAAATGCATAATGATATTGTCTATTTCTCAGGTTCTATTATACATAATGAATGTTTTAACTTTTTTGGTGATTTTTTCTCATCAAGTGCAATACACACAATTCTTCAAGCATTAAGTCAATGCAATTCACAGCACATATAATCCCCAAAAATGCTCCCTTTTTCCATAAACATTTTCCATGTTGCTTTGTAAGCACAAACATTATGTAAATTATGATATGAGCATAGTATTAGTTTCTTATTATTATTATTACTATTATTATTATTATTAGGGAAAATGGAAACAAATAATCCAACCTTTTAGCGGTCTTCTTACAATAGTCCCACCTTTTCGTTATTCATGAATAATCTAACCTTTGTACCTCATTTTCATTCACTGGTCCCTGACCGGTTGATGACCTGCTTTTTCAAGTTATTTTCTTATCTTTGCAAACCATTATACCATAAATCTCACCTTTCACAAAGATAATATTTTGCAAAGATAAAAAAATAACTTGAAATAGCAGGTCCTTAACCGGTCAGGGACCAGTGAATGAAGATGAGGTGCAAAGGTTGGATTATTCTTGAATAACGAAAAGGTGAGACTATTGGAAGAAAACTGCTAAAAGGTTGGATTATTAGTTTCCATTTTCCCTTTTTATTATTATTAGCATTAGCATTAGTTTCATTTTAGTAAAGATATTGTACATTAGTTCATATTCCTAACAAGAATCTATTCTAATAGGTTAGGGCTCTATTTACTTACTAACCAATATTTGTGGGTAGTAAAAATAGGGGCTTAACTTCATTAATTATATCATATAACTCCAAGCATAATCATAAGGCTTTGACAAGGTCAAGTCGGGGATCCCTGTATTCTCCGTCAAGCACAAGTCTGCCCTAACTCCTCTTGAGTATTTTTTATATTATTAATTAATATAAATTGAAAAGGGTTCCCTGGTCTTTGTACTGCTGATTTTGAGGGATGTCCAGGCTTAAAAAATAAAACTGTAGCAAGATAGCAAATCAGATCTGTAGAAAATCTGGAAAACAGTATTATTATAGCAATAAGATCTAAAATTACCTCCATCCCAGAGTGCACATTAACCCATATGTGTGGCTCAAATGTTGCAGATAATCTACGCATTGTCTGAGTCTCAGGCTCACTAAAGGGAGCAGTCCCAGGATTTTCTTCATATGGATCATAATCCTAAGAGATAGTAAGAAGTGGGGAGAGTGGGGGGTTGGTAAATATAACCATAACATTATAATTGTAAATGATGCATATTAGAAAAATTGGAGGTGGTCAAGAGAGGCCAATGCAGACCTAGATGGGGATTTTTGTATAGTTAAGACAAAACACACATTATTAGTAAATAATTCATTAGTAAGGAAATGTATCAACTGTTTCCATTTTCAAACCAGAATAATAGCATAGATGATGTGTCATGTGGCATGAAATAAATTCATGAGGGTGTTACTTTGAGCAACTCGCTAATTTCCTAGCTCACTTCTCTTCAACAAAAAAAACTTGTTATTTCAGTTTATCCCAATTCACTTCACTAACCCAGACAGTGGGGGGGGGGGGATGTGATTATCAGAATCTGAGTCTGTTTGTCTAAACCAGCATTCTGTAGGGCCTTATCACCCACTACTTTTTGTGGTCTCCAGCAGTAGAAACGCAACAGTTCGATCTTCACTAGCATCATCATCATATATAGCTCAAAAACAGAAAATTCATGCTGGAGAAGAGTGGA